TGAAAATAGCATAACTGTCTACACTTGAATTTTCAAAGTTCGTTTAGCGAGTAAAATTACAGCCGTTGAATTCTGCAGAGTTTCCTAGTTTTCGTGTAGCTAAACGATTTTGAGATGATATTAGAGTAATTCAGATTCACGTTTTAAATAAGAGAGAAAGTTTCGTGAATCCAAACTTCGGTGCATGAAATAGGCATTCGGCTTGCTTAAAAAAGTATTAAGTTATAAAATTAGAACTCTCAAACTCTCGTTAGCGCTCCGCTCATTACCACTTGGGAGTTTTAAAGTGGAAGAAACTCAGAAATTTTTTAAATAAAATTCTTGATTTAGTGACCCAAGATATATTTTTTTAAACGCAGATGAAATTAAAATGACATTTTTCTAGTTTTCTCCATATAACTAGATGATGTTTATTATTATTATTATTATTTGTTCCAAGACAGGCTTACACTAATGAGTTGGAGTTGGAAGTGGCACATTTGGCGGCAGAGAATGAGAAGCTCAAGAAACAGTACGAGGAGGTGAAATTCTAAGTTCTTATCCTTTTCTAATTTAAGAAAAATACACAATTGATATCCTTGTTCTTTTTCTATATGATGAGGACATAAATAAATATCCTTTCTTGTGTATATATTTGTACACATACTTATTTGCTCTTTTTTTGTTGGCAGCTACGTTTGGCAATGGATCATGCTCAGCATTCAACGAAAAATAGCCTGCAGAGGACCTTAACTGCTCCATTTTGAGAAATCCCAAGGTTATACAATCAACTGTAGCATGAATTGTGACCCAAAAACCCTAGCCACAGCCTTTTCTATTTTCGTCTAACCCCTTTCTTTATCTTTCTTTCTTGTAATGCGTATGTGTTTGCTCAGAAACAGTAATGGTAACTTCTTTCGGCTCATCATGTTTCCTCGTAAAATTCGTATATATGGTATGTATTTGTTTTATGGAGGGTATATTTTCTGCAGGCTAAATTATTCATAGATGCATATATAGCATACCTAAATAAAGAGAGGAGAGAGAGGAACTTTTTTGTTGCCTGAAGAAGATCAAATACTGTAGGGAGCCGGGGAAGTCGCGTCCATTTCTAGCCTTGGGCCTAGTATAGTCATTCACTCTCGGAAAATTTAGTACGGGCCCCCTTACTTCCTTACTTGATTATGAATTTTTTATTATCTCCTCAGTAGACCACTCTCATCATTTTGGTCGTTTGCTCCATCAATGCTCTGGTTTAATATTTATTAGTTTATTGTCTTGAGTAAATAAATCATAGGAAAATTTGTTTCAATGCTCCAAATTCTAACTTTCAATATGTCACAGCCTCTTTTTTTTGAAAAAATTATGTCTAGGCCTATCTCCCCAAGTTCTAATGCATCCTCCTCCAAAATCTCAATTTTACCCTCCCCTACACCTCCCTCCTCCTCTGGAGCACATTGAAAGTTGGAATTTGGGGTCTTGAAGTAATTTTTCCTAAATCATAATGAATGAGAATGATTGGTGTACACAAAGGTCAAACTAAAATTCTTTTGAACGTTTTTCTCTTTTTGGGTCAATGAATGAAAAATTTTCATTGGACAAAACTTCTCAACTAGAGCTAACACTTAAAATACTTAAGCGAGTGTTTGTTTGCATGCAAGCATAAGATGAAAGAGAGAAAGGGACTTGTTTTTAATATTTTAGGTATTTATTTGCATGTAAGTGGTTACGAAAGTGAAATACAATAATTAATGTAATTTTAACTTTCACTAAGGGGGTGTTTGTTTGCATGCAAGTGAAAGATGAAAGTGAAAAAGTTACTTTCATTTAACAATTAAGGTGTTTGTTTTCATGTAAATAGTTATGAAATTGAGATGCAAGAAAGTTGCCACATATGATTTAATGCAATTTTGACTTTCCCTAAAAAAGTGGTGAAGTCACATGAAAGTGACAAAAAGGTAACTAATTTAATTAAATAATTTTAATTATACTTTCTAATTAATCTTATTTTGCCACGTCATCTTCACATTACACTTTCGATAATAATATAATTTTTCAAACAAACACTGTATTTTACTTGCATACTGACATGGATGTAAAAGTCATTTATAAAAAAAAGTAACTTACATATTTTAAATTCACTTTCAGATTGCCAAACACCCCCTAATGGGGGTATTTGGCAAATTGAAAGTAAATTAAAAGTGTCAAAGTCACATTTTTTTTACAAGTAATTTTCATGTCCATGTCAGCATGGAAGTAAAATACAATATTTGTCTAAAAAATAAATTATTCATGAAAGTAGACAAATAAAGATGATGTGGTAATATAATTATTATTTTTTTAATCACATTATACTTTGAATCACTCCCTCCATCGCGTGGCTAGAAGTAATTTTCACTGGAAATTAATATAATTAAGCCACAATATATTACATATAGTCGATGTTAGTTGGATCAAATGATACCATCAGTCGTCCCACAATGAATCCGTTCTACTAAGAACTTGACAACAAAATTGACCAAAAGCCTGAGATCTTATAAACAGACCCATGGATTAAAAAATCATCAACGAAGTGAGAATAGTTAGGAAGAAGACGAGAGCGAATCATTAGAAAGAAGACAGACGTGAGCAGTTGCAGGCATTGAAAAGAGGCAGAGGAGAAGATAATTTAATTTGGTTGTTGCCGCCTAAAAACAAATTCATAAAGCAATATATATTTAATAAAAAATAGTATTGTAAATTATAGTAATGATCCCCACTTCCCTCAATTTCATATGACTTCAGCATTTTTTTTAAAGAAACTTAAAACTACATTAAACCTGATGAGGATTCAATTTGACATTTTACTTTCACAACTACTTTCAATTAAACAAACAACTAAATTGCTAAATATATTTCACATTCGCACTTTCTTTCATATAAATAAACACCTCCTAAAAAGTGGTGAAATCACATGAAAATGATAAAAATGATAATCAAGTTTAGATAAATGATTTAACTATATATATTAATTAATTCTATTTTGCCGCATCATCTTCATATTATATTTTAGATAATTATTATATTTTCAAACAAATTATGTACTTAACTTGCATGCTGACATGGCTGTGAAAGTTGTTTGCAAAAATAATAATAATAATAACTTGGGAAAATGTGTCAATACCCCAAAAACACTATCTTCATGTGCTGCAGCCCATTCACTTTTCCCCCATATGGTTCAGCTCCTTGAAGTGTGATATTTTGTGTTGCAGCCCTCTTTTAGCAATTATTACATGCCAACTAAGTATAAAGAGAGGATAAAAAGTAAAAAAAAAACCCTAAGTATCCTCCTCTCTCCACAGTAGCAACAAACTAGTTACAAAAAAGCCACAAAAAAATCCACCCTCGCCGTCTCTCTCTCACCGCCGCCAGACATCTCCCTCCCACTCCCGCAGCACAACCCCTCCCTCGCTGTCTCTCTCCCCTCCCCGCCTTCCTTCGACTCGGCCGGCTCCACTCCACATCACTGCCTTCTCTCACACCCCCGCCCTCTCCGACCTCCACCCGTCCGCCTTGCTCGAGTTGGCCTCCGGCGGCACTGTTAACTCCTGCGTCTCACCGTGCAGAATCACAATGATGAAAATATTGGTTAAGTAAACTCAAAAATATTTCAGTTCGTGTATTAGAACTAATTCATGTATTATTTTATGTATTAGAACTAATTTTCATGCTATTAGAAACTAATTCATGTATTATTAATTTAAAGGACAAATAATTGTATTAGGTCTAACTCACTTCCACTAGTAGAATTCGTCGTGATTGCTGACGGCCACATCCCTGACGGGGGCTTGCCGTCGGCGTTGTTTATATCCCTGACGGCAAGTGCCGTCAGGTATGACGCCGTCGCATTGTAAACTCCCCGTCACTATTTTACATCGCTGACGGGTTATCCAATATCGCTGACGGATCCCCGTCAGCGATGTTTGAATTATTTTTTGGGGGGGTTTATCCCCCCAAAAATTTCATTTTCGCTGTTATGCCCTAGCCCATTCGTCGAAGAAACCCCAACTCCGCTCCTAAATCTTCCTCTCTCCTCTCCTACAGAACAACGTCGACCTCCGCCTCCAGCTCCAGCGTGGGCCTCCAGTTCCAGCCGTCACCTCTCACGAACCTGCCGACGACCTCCGCTCCACGACAGCGACGTCGACGACCTCCACGACAGCTTCTCTCCCTTTGGCAGCCGCCTCCGCCGCCGCCGCGTCCACCGCCGCCGTGACTTCACCGCTGCAGTCAATCAAGGTAATATTATTTGTCACTTAGATCATTAAATTTTCTATTAGGTCCCTTAATCATTGAAATTAGTTCATCAAATCATTGAAATTACTAGTAAATTTGTTAATTCTTAAGTTATTATGAATTAGCCCCTTCAATCAAGAGTAAAATAGCAATTAGAGGGAAACTACTCTGCTTAGCTATTGTCGGTAGGTTTTTGCGAATTTATTGGTGTTAAATGGCTGAATTGTTGACGTATTTATATTATTTGTAATTATATCAAGCATTCTCTTCGGGAGTGGAGACATGAAATAAAGAAGAAATATTTTGATTGTTTCACTCACAACTAGGAGAGGATATACAAGCGAGATAAGAGGGTTGAGCCTGAGCACTTAGCTGCACTTATAATATTGTGGGGCCAAAAGGAGCACCAGGTAAATATGTATAGTAGTTAATTATCATCAAGTTATTTATCCGAAACTAGTGATATATTTCATTGTATATTATACCATGCACTAAAATTCTCTTTGTTCATGTTGAAGGAAAAATGTAGGAGAAATAAACTTAATCGATGGAAAAAAGATTATGATCATCATACGGGGACTACTTTATTTACCCAGATTGAGGATCAATTTTGTAGGACAACGGTATAAAGTCTTTTAATAATCATTGTATATTCTCTCCGCTTCTTAGAATATTTAATAAATAAAACTAATAAGTATATTTTTAAATCTCAGAACGCTCCCTTTATCCCACTACCAGAACTGCACAGGAGAACGATGGTTCAATTTAAGAAGGGGTACGATGACGATGAGACTAAGAAACAAAAGCTAGAATTGGCCAAGAAAATGCAGGTTAACTAATTATCTTAGCTCTTATTAGCCTGTTATCATGTAGTGTTTCTATTGTTTGTACTCTTCTTTTGGTCATCTTATTAGCCGAGTTACTATGACCCATTCGTATGAGGGGCTTGCTTGTTAGGATATAACAATGCATAAGAAATAACATACTGTAACATGATTGATCTACTTGGTTTTATTCTCGAAAACCTTTGAATTGCTAATGACAAAACTTTTCCTATCACCTTACAAGCCAAAGCACCCTTCAACTATTTATTAGCACTTAAGTTGTAGCATACGGACACAAACACAAAAGGAAAATAAGTATTTGATTGATATACACTAACAATATATGAAAAATCAAGGGTTATATAAAGTTCCATAACTAGAAAGAGCAGCAGAAAGTGAATTTAGTTTTAGTGTGTGTGCCCTCTGTTTGTGGAAAATTTGCAGTAAAAAGAAACGAAGGAAAATTGATTTGTATTCCTTTAATCTCAGTTACAATTGGATTTCCTGATTACAAAAGAGAAGAGAATGATCTGGATTCTCTCCTTTGTTTAATTCTGGGTTCTTCACGGTAGCGATGAGATGCCTCCGAGTTTGCTTCTCGTTGACGATCCGACGTCTTGTTTCACTAGAACATGATCTTCTCCTCATGATTTGACGTTGTGGAGAAC